GGAAGGAGAAGCAGGGAGCCTCGAGAGGGGCAATGAGAGAGCCCTCTCTGCAGAGGATGTTTCAGCTTAGTCCTGAGGGAGGTAGAGCTGGCCTTGAGGATGGCAAGAGGAGGGAGCTGCAAGCAGAGGGAGCGATTAGTGCAAAGGCCCTGAGCTGGAAAAGCATCTGGAACTTTTGAGGGCCTGCAAGGAGCCGGGCTTCTGTGACATGCCAAGAAAGGCCCTGGTCTCTTCTGCTCTGCCTTGTATCTAGACTCCTTCTTTGACTGCCAGCAGTCAGCAGGCCCTTCAGACTTGGTCTCTATGGCCTCCCCTTTTAAGGCCCGCTGAGCAGTGATGTCCACCGGGCCTCTGCCAGGCTCTGCAGGTCCAGAGGAGAATAAGGCAGTGCCCTCTTCTCAGTGTGTCCATAGTCCTGATGGGAAGGCAGACTATAATCCGTAGAGCGTGACGGCAGTGCTATGCATATGCCTGGAATGTTCTGGAAATACAGTTGAAAGATAGCAGATCCAGCATGGAGTGGGCCGTGAGTGCTTCAAGGAAGGCCTATCAGGAGAAGCTGAGCTGAGTTTCAAAGGAGTAAGGTGTGAGGGTTAGCTAGAGAAGAAGTGGGGAAAAGGGCGTTCCCAGCAAGGGAACATGTGGGCGGGCACACATGTGAAAAGCGTGTGGGGCGTGCAGCACATACTACTCAGCTGGGGCTTTGGCCCGAGGTGGGGGCTGAGGTGGTAGGAGGTGAGAAGTGGAAAGGCAGCCAGACCCAGGCCCACAGACCCTCACATGCCAAGCTAAGGAAGTGGAACTAGACTCAAGGCCGTGGGGAGTCATTGGAGGTCTGTCAGCCGGAGAGCAGGAACAGATTCAAGGTCTCAGAAACTCACTGCGGCAGCTGCTGGAGGGACAGAGGATTGGGGCAGAGGGACCCAGGGGCTTCCGTCCACCATGATCCAGACAGGCAGAGGCACAGGGCTGGGCCGAGCCACACTGGGAGACGTCAGAGAGGGATGGATGTCGGGGCCAGGGAGGAGATGGACCCTGGACTTCACAGCTGATGGAATGAGGCCTTGGGGGAGAGAGCAGAATCGAGGGTGATGCCCAGCGTCTGGTTTGGGTGGCCAGCTGGGTGGGGCACTGGAGGGATAGTTAGAGAGTTAGCTAAACAGAGAGTCCATAAAAGGATGTGCTGAGTTAGAGATGACATGGGGCCATCTACTCCTCAAGTAGAGGAGTTGAGGAGAGGAGAGACAGGTAGGAGATGAGGTGTCGAGGTTGTGATCTGAGAGGTGATGGGTGTGGCTGGGAGAGGGTCCAGGTGAGGGCCCTGAGAGTCCCCAAACAGAACGAGGGGCAGGAAGTGAGTACTGCGGACAGAGAGAAGGAGGGAGAGCGTGGTAGTCAGGGAGAAAGGCCGCCCCACCGGGTGAGGGCACGCTTCCAGAAGACAGAGGAGAGCAGGGAGCAGGGCCGGGTCTCTGCCATGGGGTGTCAGGTGGGAGCACCTGGCCCAGGTGTAGCAGGTGGGGGACCTGGGCTTGGCCAAGGAGGTGGAGCCATGGGGCTGGAGAGACTCAGGGTGCAGCCAGGAGGCTGCAGGCCGGGAGTCGGGGGCCGGGGGGAGTGGGGGGCCTTCCCTGACTGCTGACTGACACTTGACTCCCCTCAGTGCTCTCACAGCCGCCCCCATGTGGCATCTCAGGCAAACGGTCCCCTCTCTGCCAGAGCCCTTCCCAAGAGCAGAGACTGACACAGAGTAGGTGCTTGGGAAACTGTTTACCTGAAAGGGCAAATGAGAAATGGGAAATGCGCCACTCATTATCAAAGACTGTCGGCATCGCCCATCTGCCGATCCCCACTGCGGGGGAAGATGCTCTGGGGGTTATCTTTGGGGAAGGAGCTGAAGGAGAAAGGAAATTGGGTTTCCTTCTGACCCTAGCAACCGAGGGAGTTGATCTCTCTGTGCCTCAGTTGCTTTACCTGCTCTCTCCCAAGGGCGGAATACAAGTGTGCATGGCAGCACTACAAATGCTGCTCCAAAGCGGGGAAGCCAGGAACACGTAGCGGCTCAGAGCCCTCCCCAGAGCCAGCGTTCTGCTGGGTCTAGGATCCTCTGGCCAGGCCGTTGGCTGCCACGAGACCAGACCTGGGTCCTCCCCCTACCTCCCTTGTAGGTGTGCCTGCTGGGCAGATCTGTGGCCCACATTTGGGAATGGAGCACAGAGGTGCCTTCTGGAAAGGAGCCCACACCCTCCGCTCTGCTGCAGCTCATTAGCAGTTCAAGCAGCCGCTTTCTGGGCCCGGGAGGCTGTCCCAGGGCTCCGGAGCCTCTGCCTGCCAACTCAAGGCTTTCTTACTTGGTGCCAACACAGGACTGAGGGAACGACAGTCCGCCTGGCACCCTCTAGGTGGTCCTCCAAAGGAGCAGGCAGGCCTTGGTGAACTGGCAGACTCTCCACCTGTGGACTGGCTTCAAGGTGAGTTCACACAATGACCACTCTCTGGAGACCTTTCATTTCTCATAACTGTCCTGGCACACGTCCCAAGCATGGCAGGGCACAGCATGGTGAGGGGGGAGAGGTGCTGCTGGTAGCCCCACTCCTCTCAGCCCTTTTCGGATCAAGCCTCAGTGGCAAACTTTGTCTTGCTTTGGAAGAAGGAGCCCTGGGCAGCTTCCACACCATGATGGTCTTGATGATGTGACATAAATGTGCCAGTGGGAGAGGCCCCTTCCTTCAGACATTACCCCTCACCATTTTTTGCAATCCCAGGTGCTAAGGCTGGGCCCCTGCTGGAAACTAGCAGGACACTGAGATACACCAGTCCTCCTCCTTCTTGGAGGGAGGCCAGGGAGCTCTCACTGGACCAAAAGCACCTCCACGTAGCCAGGTCACATTTCCCAGCAAGCATGGACCTCCAGCTGGGACCTGGCTGGGTGCAGGGCTGCCTACAGAGAGGAAGTCTGAGAGGGAGGTGACCGCCCCTCTGCCTTCCTTCCAGGCTGGCTCAGGCTGAGCCTGGGCCTGGAGGGAGCTGGGCCCCTGCAGAGTCAGACCCTGGCCTTCCAGGTCTTGCCTGCTCTGGGGCCAGGGCCTAGGATGTGGCTGGAATGTCAATAAGCATCACTGCCTGGGGGTGAGACAGGGAAGAGAGAGCCCGTGGCTGACGGGGGTCAGCACAGGCTCAGGGAGACATGGGCACACCGTGAAGCACCATTTCAGGACAAGGGGCGGGATAGGAAAGTGGAGGGTGGGCTGAGAAGTGTGTGGAGAGAGGTCCAGAGCAAGGCTGTCCCTAGAATTCCTCCACCAGCTCACAGCTGGGGGGCATGAGACCCCCTGACTGGTTAGGGTTTCATGAAACCTCCCTGAGTCTCCTACGAGCCGCCTCGTCTCTATTTTACAGGTGTACACAGTTAGGGTTCTACCTGAGAAACAGAAGCAGAGGGAGATTCTATGTTACATAATTGTAGGGTCCGGCTGGGCAAGTGTGACATCTGGAGGGCAGGCTGGCAGGCTGGAAATGCTCATCCCACAGGTGGCATTTCTTTCTCAGGGAAACGTCCATTTTGCTCTAAAGGCTTTCGGCTGACTGGACGAAGCTGACCCAGATTATCAAGGATGAGCTCCCAGACTTAAAATCAGTTGGTCGTCACCTCCACAGAATCCCTTCCTGGCAACACCTGGATGAGCATTTGATCAAATCACTGGGTAGTGTCACGCAGCCAAGTTGACACATAAAAGTGACCATCGCCGGGATGACCCCCAGTGCCTGCTCACAGCTGCTGTGAGGGGGAGTGAGGAAGTAAGACTTTGCACAGACTCTGGCTTGAAAACATCCTCAGGGCAAGGCAGCTCTGGCTCCCTGTGCTTGTCTGGGGCGTGCGGGGAGTGCGTTTGCAGGCTGGTCAGAAGTGTTCGAGCCAAGGAGGCTGAGCTGGGTTTGGCTCTGCTTGTCCTCAGGGGGTGGGGACTGGCTCAGAGAGCCCTGGGGGCTTTGTGGGTGGGGCATCAGCGGCTTCGGGGAGCTTCAAGGCAGGCACTTCCAGAGGCACAGCGTGCTGCCTGGCCACCCAGACCTCACGCCCAGGCAGCTCTCAGAGGAAATTTCCAGGCTAGCCTCATCCCTCCTGAAAGCCTGGCCAGGGGTAGAGTTTTCAGGCTGAGAGTTTTCAGGGCTCTGGAAATTCCCACCTGGCCCGGGGTGCTCTCAGCAGGGGGCTGGGTGCCCTCAGCCGGGGGTGCTGCAGGACCTTCAAGTCTGGGTGGGGTCTCCCCTGGGCTCTCCACCGTGGCAGCTGGATCTCCTGGGAAAAAGCTCAAATCTGTCCTCACACAGCTAAACCTACAACTCAGGTGCGACAAGTTTCGTCTCCTAATCTGGACCAGTTTTCTAAAAGATTAAAATCTATTGTCATACAATCATTTCCCTAGGAATGAGGATAATAATAACACCCATCTCACAGGGCTGCTGTGAGGGGTAAGCCCAGGTACAGTGAAGGGGGCCCGATGTCAGTGCCCAGGAAATGTGGCACATTATTAAGAGCGAGTACTTAGCGCTGATTTGGAGGCTGCCCCTGGGCTAGGTGCTTTCCACACATTATTTCAGTAATTCAGGAATAGATAGGGTTTTGAAACCTGGGGGCTAGAGAAAGGTGTGGAGTGCAGGTGGAAGAAGAGCCCCTGACCACTAAAGTTGTTATGGAAGATTGTGTGTCCTTTGTATTTTATAGAGAAACTGTCCATGGCTTTCAATCAGCTCAAAGAATTAAGAACTTCTGGTTTAGTTGATAGTTGGACATTCAATTATAATTATTTCAGCTCTGTTTTCGCTAAGAAGAGGATGTGTCCACCCAGCTAAATAATCCTATCACAGAGAGACCTTGGTGTTTGTAATCAAATACTTCTGGACTTCGGATAAAGCCTTCCTCTGTACCTCTTGTCATGAACTTTGAGAAATGTCCCTGAAATCATTTCCAGTGTCTCGGAGGAGATGTGAAGAACTACCGTAACTACCGGTGGACACTCCCTCGCCCGGCCCGCGCGCTGCGCCTTTAAGGTCTACTGGGGGCGTGATGTCAGCTGCCCGCGGGCACTTGGAGCGCGAGCCCGGCGGCCCGCGCGCTTCGGCGATTCCGAGCCATTCCGAACCCGTTGTGGAGAAGGACCTGCCTGCCGGTAGCTCCGCGTCCCTGACTTCGCCCGTCCGGCGCGCTCGCCCGTGGGCCATGACCAGCAGACCCTGAACGGGCACCGACCCGGCTCCGGGAACGCGAGGCTCCGCGGCCCCGGCCATGGGCAACTTCCAGCTGGAAGACTTTGTGGCGGGCTGGATCGGAGGTGAGCGCATCCCCGGATGGGAGGGACCCCCAGAGGTGAGTGCGCTGACGGGACAGCCCGGCCCGAGAGGAAGAGAGCGAGTCAGCCGGGAGTTGCGCAGGCGGAGTTTCCACGCCGTGCCGGGTCAGGGAGCTCCGCGCCCGGGCGCTGCCCACACGCGCCCTGGGTGCTCGCTGCCCGCCGCCCGGCTGGTCTTGCCGCTCCTCGCCTGCTGCCGCGACCCCGGGGGAGATTCATCCCGAGCCTGCGATTTGCCTCAAAGTTTGGGTCCGCGGAACTTGATCCTGTAATGATTAAACCAATGGTCAAAGCGGACAGCCAATGGAACGTCCCGGCGCGTACACACCCTTCGGCGCCCTGGTGCGCACTTGAGTCTGGGGACTCTGGGCTCACAGGAACTCGTGTGTGAGGGTGGCGTTTGACCGCCGCCCGCCCCCGCGCGCGGGATGCGGAGCCCGGCCTGGCGCTCAGGCCGGCCCTTGTGGCGTCCGGCTGCGGGGAGCGGAGCGCAGAGCTGGGAGCCCAGCACCGGCTGCAGGTGTCCGCTGCCAGATAGGAGGAACCCTTCACGTTTTCAGCCACAGCCAACTGTCATGCCTCTCCTCGGGCACTGTTGGGCCCGCCGGTCCCTTTCTACCACTCCTGGAGACGCTCTCTGCTGAGCCTGGGGTGTGTTTGCTTGGGCAATAGTCGCATCCATTGCCTTGCTTCTCCATTATTCTCTTTCCAATAGGTCTGTCCCTCCTCTTTGCTCAGCTATTGGGGGGGGGCGGGGGTGAGGGACTTTGCTTATTGTCAGATATAGCCTTTCTTTTGGCTCCATCTAAGAGGACCATCAGAAAAGAGCTGTTGGCGAATGCAGTCCCTCCCCAATGTAAAATCCTGAGACGCTCGCTCAGGTAGAGGCTATGGCTAGCATGTTTGTGCCCCACTAAGTGTTCTAGGTATGGAGACCAGGAGATTTGTAGGAAAGGAAAAAAAAAAACAAAAAAAGCAACTAACCAGCTAGGATCCCGGGTGGTTCCCCTTCTGGTGGCACCCTCCCACCTCCTAGCAGGAGTCCATGTCTGTCCCCCGCAGGTGACAGGTGGCTGCAGGGCCCCTGCTTCTCACCCTCCCAAGCAAAGGTGATTCCTCTCCCTGGGGGCAGTTCCGTTGCACAGGCTCCCTTGGGTAGGGCTGAGACCTGCCTCTCCTAACTTTGCCAGTCAGGGGACTGTGCCCAGGGACCTACCAGGCACATCCAGACCCTCTTCGGACAACCTTTCAGCCGTCCGGAGGGAGAGGCTTTCCCCGGCTGCCCTTTAAATAGTCAGACCAACTTCAGTAGGGCTGCCAGGGGCTTGGTTTGAGAAATGTCCTGGAGGGTAAGACTGTCAGAGCAGCTCAAAATCTCTGATGACACAGAGACCCTCCCCAACTCACACAGCAAGTAGTGGGTTGTCCTTTATTCTGAGATTGCCCTTACTTTGTTGATGTCAACATGGTTTTGTTTGTTTTTGTTTTCGCTTCCATGAAATGAACACGAATGTAGTAGCAGTGAATGCTTCGTAAGTGTCAGGTGCTGTTTAAATGCTACATGGATACTTCTAAAGCAACTTTATTGAGGTTATTTTACATATCATAAAATCCACTCATTTCAAGTGTACAATTTAGGGATTTTTAGTAATTTTACCAAGTGTTGCAACCATTACCATAAACTAGTTTTAAAACATTTCATCCCCCAGTAAGATCCCTCATGCCCATTTACAATTAAACCCCATCCCCTCCCTCTCTCTCTGGGCAACCACTTTCAGGCTCTATAAATTAGTGTTTTCTGGACACTTTATATAAACACAATCATACAATATGTGGTCTCATGTCTACGTATATTTCTTTATAGCTCTAATGAGGTAGCTACTATCATTACATCCCCATTTGACAGATGAGGAAATGGATACTCAGAGAAATTCAATGACTTTCCCCAAACCATACATCTAGGATGAACACGAGGATTCCAACCCAGACAGTCTGGTACCAGGGCCATTTTAAGCCCTGCACTCATCTATAGCTGTTTTCTCTCTCAGTGACCTGTCATGATAAACTTTCACCATTACATCCTTCACATTTTGCTTGAAATTTTACTGGTCTGTAATATCCCAAGGTCTGGAAACCACTGACCCGATAATTCTGTTTCTTATCTTGTATCCCTGCTTTCAGATGGGTGGACTAATGAGTGTGCAGGGAGATAATGGCCCAAGGCTGGGTCTGGGGCTGCTGCCCTGGGCTGAGGGATACAGCCAGAGCCTGAGGACCAGAGCTCCTTCCTTCCCCTGCAGGGAGGGGTTCCTGTAGAGTGAATGGCCCGGCTTTCCGCCGCCCACCATCTTTCTGCCTCTGCCCCGTTCTGTGGGAAGGAGGGGTTGAGAGGGGCCTGGAGGTTCTAGACCAAGGGAACATTTGTTCCGGAATAGCTGGTTTCTCTGCCCTGTAGATATCTAATGTTCCAGGACCCCTGATCTGCCCTACCTGGTGCAGTCACTCCTGCTGGCAGAGACACTGCTTCCTCATCAGGATGATGGGGAATGGGTCTCAGAAGGATGGCTCCTGCTTCAATCTCACAATCATTGCCTTCTGCGGTACGGCCTCAGGGCAATCTTGCTTGTCTCCAAAATCATTCTGGCCTTGTGAAGGTGTGTGTGGATGGGCATTTTTCATTGAAAAGATCCGGAGTATCCATCACCTTTCCAAAGAGGCCTTCTTAAAAAAAAATCAATAGGGATGGCAGCCCCTCTGAGCATCCTGTAAGTGCCAAGCTCTGCTGGCCCTTTACCTTTTCTACTTCAGTTCATTCTTAAAATGGAACCGTGAGGTAGGTGCTAATGTTATTCCCACTACACATGCTACAAGGGAGGCGTAGAAAAGCTAAATAACCTGCAGGTACCTGAAAAGTTTCTGGGTTTTCTCTTCATACCCTCCCTCTTTTTTTTTGAGGTGAGATTCACATAACAAAATGAATCATTTGAAAGTATACAATTCAGTGACATTTAGTACATTCACGGTGTTGTGCAACCATCTATCTAGTTCCAAAACATTTTTCTCACGCCCAAAGAAGTTTCTGGACCCATTGAGCAGGTACCCCCATTTCCCTTCCTCCAAACCCTGGCGATCACTAATCTGCTCTCTGTCTCTACGGGTTTACCTCTTCTGGATAATTCCTATAAATGGAATCATACAGGATGCGACCTTTTGTGTCTGGCCTCTTTCGCTTTGCGTAATGTTTCCCACGTTCATCCACACTGCAGCACGTGTCAGTACTTCATTCCTATTCATGTCTAGGAATATTCCATTGTATGGATACACCACATTGTATTTAGCCATTCATCCAGCAGTGGACATTGGGCTGTTTTTACCTTTTGGCTTTTTTGCATAGTGCTGCTATAAACATGTGTGAACATGTACTTGTTTGAGTGCCTGTTTTCAGTTCTTTTAGGTATATTTCTAACAGTGGAATCCCTGGGTTATAGGGTAATCCTATGTTTAACTTTGTAATAAGCCAAACTGTTTTCTACGGCAGCTGCACCATTTTACATTTCCACCAGCAATATATACGAGTTCCAATTTCTCTATATCATCACGAATACTTGTTATTTTCCTTTTCTTTTCTTTTTTTTTTTATTATAGCCATCCTAGTGGGTGTGAAGCAGAATCTCACTGTGCTTTTGACTTGCATTTCCCTAATGACCAATAATGTTGAGCATCTTTTCATGTACTTGGCTGTTTGTATATCTTCTTTGGAAAAATATCTATTCAAGTCCTTTGCCCTTAAAAAAGTTTTTTTTTTTCTTTTTAGTTGTTAGAGTTCTTTACATATTCTGGATATCTGACCCTTATCAAATGTTCGATTTGCAAATATTCCCCCCCCCTTCTGTAGGTTTCTTTACCTTCCTGAGAGTGTTCTTTTATGTACAAATGTTTTTAATTTTTATGACATCCAATTTATCCAATTTTTCTTATGTTGCTTGTACTTTTGTTGTCATATGTAAGAATCTGTTGCAAATCTCCATTCGTGGAGATTTCCCCCTATATTTTAGCGTATGATTTCTGTAGTTGCAGTGCTTCCGTTCAGGTCTTTGGTTTCTTTTAACTTTTGTATATAGTATGAGGTAGAGGTCTATTTATTCTTTTGCATGTGGGTACCCAGTTATCCCAGCACCTTTACCTCCCTTTTTTTAGGGTGCTTGTTTCTTGAGGCAGGGCCCAGGTTTTACTCCATTTTCTTGCCTTCCTCCATGCGTGAACCTGTGCCTAACACACTGGGTGGGGGTTGTCCCCTCTGGTGACTGGGCATTGACTGAATAAGTGAATGTAAGTGTCTGAGTCCTCTGTTCTGTCCTAAGAACCAGCCAGTACAAGCGAGGAGTCCAGGGACTGAGTAACCAGGACGTCCTCTTTGATCCACAGGTGCAGCGAGCGTCATCGTCGGCCACCCTCTGGACACAGTCAAGGTACGGTAGCCATGTTGCCATTACCTTTTGGAAAGGGGCCTGGAGTGAGTCTGACTCTGGGAATGTGCCTGCTGTTTCTGACCCCCAGAAAGCCACCAGCGCAGGGCAGGCTCTCTGTGCCAGTCCACGGGGGCGGAGCGCTAGGAGGCCCAGTTGGAATGCTCCCCCGTCCTTGCTGGGCAGTGATTTTGTTTTTGTGAAGCTCCATTTCTGCCTCCAGGCTCTCATGAGCTGCAGGGGAGGGATGGGGCACTGTGAGTGCTCTCCTGCAAGCCTCTATGGAGCGAAGGAACCAGAATCTGGGCCCATAATCTAAGGTTGGGCCATTGGAAAAGATACTCCAGGCACAGAGAACGGCACAGGCAAAGACAGTGAGGTGGGGACACCACCGGGGGGGCCATGCTTTGGAAGGGCCAACACGGCCACTTCTGCTGATGCATCAGGTTTCTGAAAGCAGCTACAGATCAGAATCCAGGACTGGTAGGTCGGCACTCAGTCCTTGGAGGCCTTGACCTTCAGGTTAGGACTCTAGACTTAGGTTGGGAATGGGAAGCCGTTATAACTTGACAGAGCCAGCAAAGCCACCTGGCATTGGGGTCATCCACGCTTCTTGTTCTACACGTGTGGAAACTGGCCCAGAAAGGGGAAGGGTGTCACCTCAGGTCATACAACAAATCGAAGCATTGAGGAGTGAGATGTTACAAAGGGACATTCTTTGGGTCCACCCCTACCCCTGCCACCTGTCCCCATGGTGACCAGCACTCACAGCTGTACCCTGAGAACGTGGCCGCAAACAGCTCCTCCTCACCCTGACTTCCACATTTGTATCTAACGCTGTGCCAGGATCGTGCACAAAGAGGACCTGCCAGGCCCTTCTCCAGTGGTCACTGTGGTCCCCTTTCTCCCCATCTTCCTCCCTGCGTGGCCGTGGGCTCCTCCTCAGTCAGAGCCCAGGCCTGCTCTCTTCCTGATGGGGAGGTCAGCCTATGTGTCTAAATAGTTAAAGGTACTTCCCGGCCCCTCACACAGGCCCAGCCTTCTGCTCATACCTCAGATGCATCTTGGATGCTTTCTCTGTGCAGGCACTGTGGGGCTGGCAGGGCAGCAGTGGTGGACAAGGCAAGTCCAGTCCTTCCCCGGCAGGCCTAACAGCCACATTTCTGACCCAGGCAACCAGTGTCTCTCCCTGGTAGAGCATCCTTCCCTCACCTGCAGCTTGGTTAGGGGAGGGTAGAGCTTGTTGGAACCCCCATCCTCATCCCCTGCCCCTGGCACAGGAAAGCCTGGCCACCCTTTGCCTGGCCACATGTCACCTGTAAAGACCAGGACTCTCCTTCTTTTCTCCACTCTGCCCCCTGAGCCTCTGCAGGGAACCTTTCCTGATACATAAAATCTTGTCTCTGTTCAGCCTGAGAACCTCTCTGCTGAGGGTCCCAGCCTAAAGATGCTGGCTTACATGGCTGGCCTGTGGGTCCAGCCCGGGGCTGTGGCCTGGGGCCCTTGTTTCTCTCCAGAACATCCTCCTTCATTCTGGCTGGCATTTTCTCTAGAGTTCCTGTTCACTGAGAAAGGTCTGGGCAAGAGCCTCAGAGTCAGAATAACCTGGAGTACAGCTCCAGCCTCCCGCATACTCTCCTGTGCCTAGGGCAGAGCACTTAACCTCCCCAAGCCTCGGTTTCCTCGTCTGTAAAATGGGCAAAGAGCACCCCCCTGGTGGGGCTGTCATGAGGATTGTCAAGTGGCAGTGAGGATAGAGCAGTGAGCGATCCCCTCCTGTCCTGAAGAATACACACATTAGAGTGTGGGGAGGCAGATGAGTGACTTGTTCCTGGTTCCCAGGCTCGCCCCTGGGAGAGCCAATCTAGAAGGATCTGGGCTGCTGACCTGGGTCAAAGACTCATTCCCTGCCTGCAGCTGCCTCACCACAGGTGGGAGAGCCAGCACTGGCTACTTGGTGGCAGTAGAGCTGGGGTCAGGATTCACTGCTGGCTCCAGGCACAGCTGGTGCATTTAAAGTTTATGTTTGATGCAATGTGACCAGGGTTTTCTACTCAGGGCTCAGCTCTCTATAGCCCAGCTAGAGCACTATAAGAGAATACATTTGCATTGTTTTAAGCCACTGAATTTATCATAATTTGTTACAGCAGCAATCGGAAACATACAGGGAATCAGCTTTCTTCATCTGTGAAGTGGGGATAGTATCCATGCCTCAGAGCATTTGTGGGATTCTGTGAGAAAAGTTCCATAAGATTTCCAGTGTTTGCCCAAGTATGCAGTTGGTGCATACGAAATGCTAGCTCCTGTTGCAATTGGAGTCCTTAGAGGCTTGAGCTGTGCTGCTGGCCTCGGTGGCAGCTTCCTCAAGAGCTGACAGACTTTTGCTCTGGTCTAGACCCAGAGTGAGGTGTGCCCTGGGCTCTTCTGTGGCTTTTCTCAGACCCTCTGCCTGTCTACGGATGCCCCCAGTCACCAGAGCCAGCCTCCATTAGAGGATGCCACAGTTTCACCTTCCGGCCCCTCGGTTAGCCAGTGCAAAGGGCCGAGTGCCACAGCCACGCTCGGCTCCGGGGACGAAAGGGAAATACAAGACGGCCCTGCCCCAGAGGGGGAACCCAAATAAATCCTAAGTAAACAGACAAACAGATCACATCATTGCAGCATGTAAGCTCAGACCCAAGAGATGAGCAGAAGCTGGAGAAAGAGCCTTCCAGGGGAGGAAAGCAGGTGGAACGTTCTGGAAGTGAGAAGCAACGGATGCTCCAGGGTCCAGGAACGTGCCGTGTGGCAGACCCAACGGGTGCGGAGGAAATGACATGCGGGTGGTGAAAGCCACGCTTCTGGGTGCTGGTTAAGGGTGGAATTTATTCTGAGTTTGGTGGGAGGCCACTAGAGAGCTTGAAACAGCAGTGACAAACATTCATCGTTGTTTGGAAAAGATTAGTCTGACTGTTGTGTAGACACAGGCAGAGGAGTTGGGGTGGAGGAAGCAGGAGGCCAGCGAGGGGCCCAGCCCATCATCAGGGTGAGAGATGCAGGGGTTCTGGAGATGAGAAGAGCAGGTTGCTCCTGGGAGTATTTAGGAGGGCAGACTGACGGACAGCAGGTCGGCCAGAGCCACGGGTTAGCTTTTTGTACTCAAGATGCAGCAGCATCATGTGTCCCCACACAAGCGTTGTTTTTGCACACCAAACTGGCCTTTGTTCTTCTCTCAGACCGAGGGGACTCCTGCTGCATTCAGCAAGGTGAGAACGGGACTTGGTGCAGGGAGAGGATGCAAGGCCAGCCAGGCCGGGACTGAAGTCCAGGCCTCCTTCCTGACGGGGTCACTGGGGCAGGGCCTTCCCTTCTCTGGGCTTCAGTGCTGGGAGCCCAGCGCCGTGAGGGAGGTGGGGATGTAACCTGTCTCTGGCTGGCCCTCACGCCCTTGCCTTTCTCCGCAGGCTCGCCTGCAGGCCGGCACTGGCTACGGGAGCACCCTTAGCTGCATCCGCACTGTGTACAGGAGGGAGAGTGTAAGTGCTCCCGGGGTGGGGTCTCCTCCTGGGGACCGAGGTCACAGCCCCTCACACTGGCACACCCAGCAGGAGGCCTGTTTATTCCGCTCATCACCTTCGGCTCAATTTTCTCTCTTCATCTCACACCATCCTCAAATATTATGTGTTACCTAAACTTAACCCTGCCCCCAAGTGGGATGTTATTGAGGAAAAAAACTGGTTTGGCGTCACCTCTCTGGAGAAATTCGGAGGCATTTAGAACCACAATGTGGAAAATTCCTACAAAAACAGGAGGACCTGCCAGGTTTTCAAAACCTAATGTGTGGCGGTAAACCATGTGTTCACAGGCTCCCTTTATCCCAGCATGGGGCGGCGGGTGCGGGGAGCAGGCTCTTCTGATCCCAGACACCCCTAACGGGCTTGCACCCCAGGTCGCTCCAGACCATGGACCCAGGGGTTTTCTCTGCGAAGGGGAAATTCTGAATAGCATTTTGTAGAAGAAGCATCAGGTGACCTTCTTGAGAATGAGTATGTGCTTTTGGAAGACTCCAAGGCTCCTCCTTGGGGAATTTAAAATAAATTTTAAAATTTAGAATGAAATGACCTGTTGGTTTAAAGAAATAGTCGGGTGTAAGCCCTGTGGCAGCCCTGGGCTTCTCCTTGAGTCACTGGAAATGTGGCCCCGTTATTGACTGCTGTCCCCGCCCAGGCTCCATCCTAGGAAGTGCCCTGGAGCTCGGGAGCCTCCTGCCTGCACCTGGAGGTTCTTCTCTTCAGTCAGAATATGTCTTGTGTCCTGGTGTTGTTCTGACTCTCTTGATCATCTGCTTTAAAATCAGGGGGAGCGCTGTAAACCCAGCACTCGTTGCTCCGGGGTAATGTTGTCCGATTCCCGTGTCCCCTGAACGGCAGCTGTTGAGCCTCCTTTTTGGCACATGTTCTCCGCAGTGTCTGCCAGCCTGCATCTCCGCTCTGGGGTTTCTGTGGGGACTGTGGGTGTTCCTCTGACACACAGCAGCTCAGAGCTAAGTGATGTCTCAAGTTATCTGAGGGACCTTGTTGTAGAGGAAGAGGCTGAAGCATGGTGCGTGCGTGCATATGTGTTTGCGTGCACATGCGTGTGTGGACGCCTGTGTGAGGAGGTGTCCTGCCCCTTGCAAACAGGGGGCATGCGTTCAGGTCGGGATTAGTGGGTTTGAGCACAGCCTGGAGTTTTTACAATGGTTTCCTGGTGCTTCTTCATCTTTGGTGCCATGTGTGCTGCACTGACTCCTCGAAGAGCCTGTGGAATTTTCCAGGTTCAGTGGAGCATCTGTGGTGTTTGCTGAGAACGCAGTGTGTATGGACAGAAGCCACATCGTGCTGTTCATCCGGGGACTCCCCCTCTGGCTTTTTTCCAATAGACTCCCATGCTCGGGGCACCCAGCTACATGCTGGCCCAGGTGCCCCTGGGATGCTGGGGGACCCTTCTTACCCCATCACTACAGGCTTAGCACATTATATTTTAATTGCCTGTCAGTTTGTCTGGGTCCCCCCTCCCCTGCCCCCAGACTGTGAGCTCAGTGAGAGCGGAGAGTGTGTCTTTCTTGTTGTCCTCCAGGGCCTGGCACGTGCCCAGAGAATGCTTTTGTTGGAGTGACACATGAGGAAAGAGTGTGTGGTGCTTGGTAAGCCCACTACCCACTGGGGCTCCATGGGCTGCCCTCAGCCACAGCCCAAGAACACTGCCACTCCAGTGACAAATGCAGGTTCCAGGCCCAGCACATCACGGCTCAGGAACCAAAGCTTCATGCAGAAGCCGGTTCCTCCTCGGGTTAAGGATGCTCTCGCCCTCCCCTGTCTCTCCCCTCACATCAGCATCCTCTTTTATTCTTTCCACCAACGTACTGGTTTGCTTCTCCTATGGTGTCTCCCCTGCCAGCCCGCAGGTTCCAGGAGGGCAAGGTCTCTGCCAAGGGCAGCATAGGCCCTCATGCTTCCTCCCCCTGGGTCTCCCCACAGGTGTTTGGCTTCTTCAAGGGCATGGCCTTCCCCCTCACCAGCATCGCTGTCTACAACTCAGTGGTGTTTGGGGTCTTCAGCAACACACAGAGGTTCCTCAGCCACCACCGGTGCCAGGAGCCCGAGGCCGGCTCACCCCGCGTGCTGTCTGACCTGCTCCTGGCCAGCATGGTGGCTGGCGTGGTCTCTGTGGGGCTGGGTGCGCCCGTGGACCTCATCAAGATCCGGCTGCAGATGCAAACAGAGCCATTTCGGGAAGGTAAGCGGCCAGGGGAAGTGGGCTGGTGTCTGGGGACCTGTGACCCTTTCCTGGTTTCCCAGGTCTGGGATTTGATTAGTAATCTTTTTATGGAGCAGGGCATCTACGTTGAATCATTTTATCTGTAGTGGTAACTCTCACTGGTTGAAGATTTTCTACGCGCCCGGTGCCTGCAAAGAGCCCCGCGTGGGTTCTCTTAATTCGTCTTCAACACAATTCTCTGAGGCAGGTGCTGTGATTTTTTCCATTTTACAGATGAGAAAACTGAAGTTCCCAGAGGTTAAGATGCTTATTCAAGGACACACAGTTAATGACTGGGCAGTCAGGACCAGCTACATAACTTGCAGCCCCCCAGGGTGAAATGAAAATGCGATCTTTTGATCACAAATTAGTAAGAATTTTAAAAGGGCGACAGCAGAGCATTGAGGGGCCCTGTGTGACTGCCCAGGTCTCAGACCCACACCTGCCCCCCCCACACCAGGGATTGCAGCCAGGGAGGCCTCAAGCTGAACTGGCTGCAGGGCCATGAAGCGGGCCGCCCCTCCCTCACCCTTGGTGTTCCATTAGAGCTTCATTTCTTTTTTTCTTTTTTTTTTTTTTTGCGGTACGCGGGGCTCTCACTGTTGTGGCCTCTCCCGTTGAGGAGCACAGGCTCCGGACGCGCAGGCTCAGCGGCCATGGCTCACGGGCCCAGCCGCTCCGCGGCATGTGGGATCTTCCCGGACCGGGACATGAACCCGTGTCCCCTGCATCGGCAGGCAGACTCTCAACCACTGCGCCACCAGGGAAGCCCAGAGCTTCATTTCTTATGTGCTGCGTAGCTACTCCTGCACCGCGAGCTGGAGCTCTCATCTCCTCCCTGCTGGGAAAGAGGTTTCTGACTCCTCCTGGAGCAGTTTTGATAAAGGAGGATGGAAAGAGTGGGAAGGTACTTGCTGTGCAGAGTAGATAGCGCCAGCTCCAGAGGAGGGATGAGCTGGGGGTCTTGGACAAATTTCAGTACCTTGGGGTTTGGTCCTTGGCTCTCATTTTACTCTGTCTCCTCAGGGAAGATATTATCCCTTCCTGGGCCTCAGTCTCTTTTCTGTATAATGGAAGGATTGCATCCCAGGTCCCTCCTTCACCTCAGATATATACCTGACAGATCTCATGGGTAAGACCCCTCTCCTCGGCAGCCTCCTGAACGGCCTCCGTGTGAACCCTCTGCCCACAGAGGCGGGGGGGTCGGCTCTGCCCCATGGCTGAAGCCCCAAAAGCTCGCTCAGGAGCATCCCAGGCCAGTGCCTCTCCTGCCCCCAACCCAGGTTCCTCGATTCAGCCTGCACTCCCTGCTCAGCCGGGGAGGGGTCTAGGGCAGGTCTGCACACACTCTGAGCACAATGCTAATACTCCTCACAGGGGTCCCTGCTACCCCAAGAACATGAGTCACACCTGCTGGGTGCTCAGGGCCCCTGTCAGCATGAGGGGAGATGCAGGGCGACAAGCGGGTTGGCTCACCCAGAGGGTCACAGAGCATACTCCCATGGGGGCCGCCCAGGGAGACACGGGGCAGGCAGGTCCTTACCTCCATCCACCTGACATACTGAATCGTGTCTTGGTACAGCTCAGTTTGACCAAAGAGGTCACACCTCTGAGAAGAGTTTGGAGCTCGCTGATTTGGTCCTATCCCAGAGGCAAAAGCAAAGATGTAGAGAAATGAAGGGCGTCGTGGACAGGCCTAGAACCCAGGAGTCCTGGCCCCCAGGCTGGTTTTTTGCGCTATCCTGTCTACTTCCAAAAAGCTGTGTTAGTCTAGGGTGCAGAGGAAATCTCTCCATAAGCCTTAAAGCTCTTTGGGGTCCAGATGTTGCAAGAGTCTCGGTGATGAGGCTCCTGGGGGCAGCCCCACCTCCTTCACAACCAGGGCACCTTGTCCATGGAAGGGGAAGAGAGAGGAGTAGGCATGCTTTGTACGTGTGAGGGGGCCCTCAGCCAGCCTAGACACCAAGGAAGGTGTTTCTCAATAAATGCCGGGACGTTTGGAGGCAAGTTAATGGGTAAACTTTCTTCACCGTGTTTGCTTCCATTCTCTGTTCTGTCCTCGCCCACCTACACTTTTCCTGCAGAGGGTTCTAGAATGGTGGCTGACTTGGCAGGCTAAGGCCTGAGCTGCAGGGGTCCTGAGGCCAGGCTAGAAGCCTCCGGAGACTGGAGGAAGGATAGGAGCAGAACAGCCAGGGCAGGAGCCTCACTTTTAGGGAGCTGAGCAGCCTCCATGAGCAGCTGCCTAAGTGTTCATCGTGTCCTGACACTGTGTTAAGCGCTGTGTGTGCATCATCTCATTTAATATCCACCCGACAGTGGGAGGTCAGCATGACTGTTAGCCCTGTTCATCTACCCAACGCACAATAGTTATGTACCTGCTGTGTGCCAGGCTCAGGGCTAGGTGCTAGGGACACAGCGATGAACAGAAGGCTCCGTGCCTCTTGTAGTGCTCTGTCCAGCAGACGGGCAGACAGGAATTGGGCCACTCCAAATAGGGTGGGTGGCAGGGAGTGGGTTGGGCTCTCAGCCAGGCTGGGGGTCAGGAAGGGCTCCGGGGCAGGTGGTGGGAGGGGTGGAAGGAGAGCGTAGAGGTCAGGACGGTACACCTGGTTAGGGCAGCACCGAGGGCCACCCATGCCTGCTCTCCTGGGCCATGGGAGCCTGAGGCACAGCCCACCTGGGCTGGGACTCTCTAGAACTGCCCGTCCAGGAAGTCGGGACACTTCTGGAGCCTTGTTTCCTGGAGAAGCCCGCTGAGCAGGGAGAACATGGGGATGGTGTGCCCCCCCCCTCTCCTCCAGCATCTGGGCGGGAGGTGGTTCCGTGACCCTACTCCTGTCCAGACGGGACCATGGCCTCAGGCTGTAAGTTCATCCGCGTGGCGCAAGAAGGAAACCGGTTCTTAAGTAAACCGCTTGAGGCAGCGACAGAAAACGAAAATGTGTTTGTTCTGTCTTCCCCAGTGTGTGCCAGGAAGCTGATCTTTGGGGAGCTCAGGGAAGGCTCTTAATAAGAGACCAAGGGAGGTCCTGCACACAGATTTTTCTCAGCCCTGCAAAGCTCCAAGTCATTAGCGCCTGATCCCAGGGGCTTAGCTGGCAGTGCGGACACAAAACGGTTGACCTGAGTGGGCGGAGGGAAGGTAGAAACCGAGACTGGAGGGTCCGCCTCAGCTGTGCCCCTAGAGCCTCTGATCTGGACTAACCCAGAAGAGTCACAGCCATGGGGGCCGAGCAGCCAGTATTTACTTAGCCCTCACCACGTGCCAGGCACTGTGCGAAGAACTTGGTGTGTGTTTAATCTTCACGACAACCCAATTCCTAGACATTTACAAAGGGGAGACTGAGGCACAGAGAGATTCCATCATCAGCCTGAGGTCACTGCCCTAGTGGAAGGCGGAGCTGGGATACAGACCCAGGCAACTGACTCAGAGCCCACTGATGCTGTTTCTGCTTCTGCCCCAGGGTTCTGTAGAAGCTGAGGCTACAACAACTTTGGTAATATCTGGGCCTTTGCACAAAATCATCATGTACAAAACCAGTTGCAAACTTTGCGGGAGGAAAGGGGACTTGGAGGATGTCTCCAAAATGACAGTGTTCAAGTAGTGGACATAGCTTGTGGGCTTCGAGGGATGGGTCTGAATTCTGTGGCTTTGGGCAGCTCCGCTCTGCGTGGCCCACTCTTCCTTACCTTCCCCTGTCCCCCAGATGCATGGGGAAAGGGCTTTGGCGACTACAGGTGCTGGTCAGGATCAACTATTGGGGATAAAGCATGGGAGGCAGGCAGTGGGTCATCAGGCAGTACTTTCTGCCAGGAATCTCTCCAGAAGATGAGGAAGGGTGTAGTTATCTTTCACTTGTTCCTCGGGAACCCTCTTGGCCAGAGGTAGAAAACTCAAAGACTCGCTGGGACCAGGGAGGTAACATAAGTAAGCACAGGTACCTGGAAAATGTACCCTTTTCCATTTTTTGGACACCTACAGCCCTCCTAACCTGTGTTTCGTTTTTCCTCTTTTTATTGAAACACAGAACATACTTCACTTTCCATATCACTCTGCTGTTAGAAACACAGCAGTTTAAGCACATGTGTCAGCCTTGGTTCTGGGAAGGCAGTCGGGAGTGGTGCGCACAGTTGCAAGCTGCCCAGATCCCGTGGGAGGGGTGGCTGCAACCCGGCTCTGGCTGACTGTTGCCATGTGGCCTGGATCTTCTTTTTAAGAGAAGGCAGAAAGCTAGATTTTCCCAGGATCTTCCAACTGGAAATTGTCAGATAATTCAAGTAAAAACAAAACCAAACACAAACCAATGTAACACCATGCAGCCGAAAGCATTGTGTGGGCTGGACAGTGTGGGGCTGTGGTTGGCTGCGAGCTTGTGGTCTCTGCTCTGAGTCAGGCCCGCTCTCCCTGATAACTGGGCTGAGATGGGTAATTGCAGGCTACCCTGTGCAGGGCTTGTGGGATTGCTCATGGCTTGTGGCTTTACCCCAGAATTGCCAGTCCACTTCCCCGGGTGGTGACAACGGGCTATGAGAGACTACGCCATGTTGGAGACGTGCAAATATAAAGCCATTGAGTTCATCCTCACTGTCTGAATGTGGAGGGAGAAAGCGCCCACCCACCCAAATACAGTCACCGTTAACACATTAATATGTTTCCTTTTTCTGTTCTATATGCATGGATTAAATGTTTTGAGAGGTTGTACTAATGTTATATAGACAGTTTCACATCCTGTTCTTAATTCAACGTAAAACAGAAGCATCTTCCATGTTACTAAAATAGAATTATAAAATTAAAATAGATGGATAATATTTAAAATAGATGTACAATATTCCATCAAATAAACACACGCACACACGCACACACACACTTTGAGAGGGATGATACAGTGTAGTGAGAATTCAGTTTCTGGAGTTAGGCCACCTGTTTCTAATCTTACCCCCACCTGTTGTCGCCAAGCCTCAGTTTACTCATATGC